AAGAACTCATTTGAAGTATTAAAAAAACGCTTTTAATATAAATATTTGTAAGATCTTTTTAATTAAAATAATTTATAAACATTTAAAAATCAAAAGGATTTGTAAGTATATTGCTCTAATTCACTACGGTAACCTTCGTCAGCTCTCAAAATGCACACAATTTCAAGATCACATGAGATGTATTGATAAATCGCGTTAAAAATTAATATTTGTAAGACTTTTTAATCAAAGACAATTTATAAACAATCAAAAATTAAGAAGGTAACCTTCTTAAGTGAAATGCCCAATGTTAGGGTATAAAGTGCCCTGTTCTCACTTCCCACACTTGATTGTTTTTGCTGCTCCTCCCTTTTGCGCCTTTGCAAATTGAATTCCCCGCGTGTTGCGAAAGCAGATAAGATTGGAGCACGTTCTCCGCCAAACAGCCACCCACACAGAAGCGCTTCCCGGCATACAAAGCGGCAGATGACAGACGATAAGCCGCCCTGATAACGCACTTGACTGTGTGGAGGAATCGTGAGGGGAATTCTACGGAGAGCTCCCACTTACTACGAAGGTGATTATGAGGAGTAAGATGAATGGATGGGTCTACTTACGAACTGTGACCGTTTTCGGATCGTAGGCACAGACGCGCCGCTCCACCGCCGCAATCTTGCGCTGCACCCGTCCGGCCCGCTCGCCCACCGCCTGCAGATCCCGCTGCAGGTCGTCGAAGATGTCGCTGGCGATCAGGACCAGGCTGGCCAGCTGCCGCAGGGCGTTGCTCAGCGTGATGTTGCTGATCGAGTCGAACTCGTGGCCTGACACCACCTTCGAAGAGCCGGCGGTGGGCGACTGGGGGGCGCTAGCGATCCTGCCCAGCGTCGGCCGCTGCTGGCTGGGGTGCCGCGAGTTGGGCAGCGACTGCGACTGATGGCGCGTGGGCGAGGTGGACAGGAACTCGACGTGCTGCTTCAGCTTCTTCATGGGCGCCGGAGCGGGGGGCACCGGCTGCTCCTCCGAAGCCGCCCCGGACGCCGCCTGATGAACCAGCACCCGGGTGAGGGATGTGGGTGAGCCGTGGCCATTGGTTAGCTCCCCGTCCGGCGACTGCTTGTTGATGCAGTTGTTATTCCGACACTTGCCCGGCGTGCAGTGGAACCGGCCGGAGGCGTGGCCCAAACTGGCCGCCGTGGCTTGGGCCACATTGACGGGCTGCACCACGCGCTGGATGAAGGGCATCTCTCGGGCGTTTCTCTGGCGGCCACTAGCTGCTCCTCCTCATTCGCTCTGCTCCCAAGGCACCGACCAAACACACAAAAAGAAGGTAAGGTAATCCAAATAATCCACACACACACACACGCACGCTCACGCACACAGAGGCCCGAAAACTGGTCGGGCAACTTCTGGACTTGAATCCTCCGCAGTTACAGCCTCCTAGCTATTGTCTGTTTTCGGCCAAATTCCTTGGCCTTTTCACACGCACTCACAAACTAGTTTAATTCAACTGCAACTGGTTTACTGGGCAGGCCCCCCTAATTTTTCGGCTAGTTCTCAGCCTTTGCATAATTAGCACGTCGCACTCGAATTGCCCGTGATTATGGCGATTTTATGGCCCGGCCACCGTTACGCGTCGTTCGAAAGGTGTGTTAGCCGGCGAAAATGCCGACAGTCCGCTCCGCGCTCACGTCTTCGTATTTCGCCGGTTTCAAAATAACTCCGTTCAAATGGGGTGTAGTGAGGCCGCATCAAAAATACCGAAAAGTGTGGCTGCACCGGTAGACGGCCAAAATATCGCACCGAAGACACAAACCGTGGCTTGGACAAAAACCCCTTTAACATCATCTAGTTGTTTTCTAGCGGTGCAGACATCTTTTCGTCTATATATAGTCTATTTTAAACTTTTAATAATCAATTTATTAATATATCCATTGTTTATTTTTCAACATTTATTTGATCAATTTATGAATACATTAATTCAATACCCTTGGCTACCAGAAATCAAAACTTAGAAAAAAATATCTTAACTAGAATACCTTCACAGTTTTATATAGTTTTAGTAGCATTGTTAATTATGTTGTTGTTGGAGTATTCTTTCTTCAGTAATTGTAATATAATTAACAAAATGTATGTATTTCCAAATGGTTTTCATATTCAACATGACCTATGATATTTTAGTCAAGAAAAATGTATCTGTCCCACAGTGCGCCTTTATAGTTATCGATTTGAACAGTGTTGCCAGACATCAGCATATTTCTCCGCATAAGACAACCCTAGCCGAACAGGGTCGCACCGTCGTGGTAAAAATATAAATAAAAATATAAATTTACGTTTTCTACGTTAGATATATAAAATAGTACAATGCCGAAGTACTATTGCGACTACTGCGACACCTACTTGACCCACGACTCGCCCTCGGTGCGGAAAACCCACTGCACCGGTCGAAAACACCGCGACAATGTGAAGTTCTACTACCAAAAGTGGATGGAGGAGCAGGCGCAGCATTTGATTGACGCCACCACCGCCGCATTTAAGGCCGGAAAGATCACGAACAATCCGTTTGCGGGCGGACCAGGCGGGGCGCCTCCGAAGCCGGCGGGCGTTTCCATACCGCCGCCCAACATGGGAGCTCCGCCACGGCCGGGAATGCCAGGAATGCCCTACATGCCTCCGCTGATGAACCCCATGATGGGCATGCGCCCGCCGCCAATCATGAATCCCATGGCCATGATGGGACCACCGCCTCCGCTGGGCACAATTCCCGGCGTTCGACCACCGATTATGAACGGACCCAAGTGACCGCACTCCGATCGGAAACGAAATCAGGAAAAGGAGCACAGAAGGAACAGCACCTCGCGAGGTGTCCTAATTAAGCTGTAGCATTTAAGTAAGCCGAATAGCAATTCAAACTATATATGTAAATTTATATAAAGAAAATTTACTCATCAGATGGTTGTTTTTTGATTTTATTGGTTGTACCTTAAGTCCATAGAATAAATAAATAAATTTATTTTATCGTGTAGTGGCCAGGGGTATAGAAGTTTTGCTATATGTATATACAAATGGTTAAAGGGGTCGACCAGAAGCTCAGTCTAATTATTTCAAAAGAAAATTCAGCTTTTCACCGTATTTGTTTTATTTCCAAAATTATATTATGATAGGAATTTGTTACCTTATTTGACTCTACGGAGTAACAAAGATAAACAAATGAGAACAATTTGGGTCAACATAAAACAATTCTATAAAATGCTTATTATTTTTTTACTGAAATGCATTTAAGAATCGGCAACTACCTTGAACATATTTAGTTACATAAACACTCACAGTTTTTATTACAATTTTTGGGCTTACAAACTAGTTTCTGTGAAGAGAATATAATGTGGATTATAATTGTTAAAATACGAATGCGTTAACTGAGGGCTTGATGTGTAAGTGGATTATTCATTGCCTTTGTCCCGCGGTTCGGCTCGTCTGCGCCTCTTATATTAAAAGTCTGAACTACACACAATTAGGTACTATATAGGTTAGGGATTTCAGCAACATGATCATCACTGATTATCTGGCGACCCTCTGGCGCTTGCTAGGCGAAACCAGAACCTGCGACGGCTGTTGGTTACTCGAGATGGCGTCAAAGATGCTGGACTCCGAGCGCTGGTACTCGCTGCCAATGTTTTCCAGATTCAGATCGGCATCGAGCACAAGGACCTGGAACAAAAAGAGATTACGTTTCCTGTTGGTGCTAGATGAGTATAGTGCTAGAAGGTACCTTGCAGGACTGCGGACGTCTTTGGTGTATCAGCCAGTCCTCGTGCAACTCATGCAGCTCCTGAAGGTACTTAAGCGGCACACAGCTCTCCTCGGAGCGGGCTCGTTGGCGGATGCGCTCGTGCGCCACCTCCGGCGAGGTGCGCAGGTAAATGATGAGGTCCGCCTGCACGTGAATGGACTCCTCGATGAACTTGTACCACTCCTGCAGGGTGTTGAACATGCCCTCCTCCAGGGAACCATTCCGTCGCATATTCTCCACAAAGCAGTACCTGAGGGACAGTGGGTGAACGAAAATGAGCGATTCTGGTCAAACCGGATCGGGGATGATGCACTCACCGAGCGCTAAAAATGGAGCGCTCCATTATTTTTAGCTTCTTGTCGGTGGGCGCGGTGTGCGCCTGCAACATGGTCAGCGTGACATAACTCTGAAAGGGCATGGCCCACTTCTTGGGGTCCTTGTACATCAGCTCCAGCAGGTTGACCCCGTTCACGTTGCGCCACTTCTCGACGGGCTCGGTGAGCAGGCAGATGTCGTCCTTGTACTTCTCGAAGTGGTTCAGGTACGTGGTCTTCCCGCTGCCGATGTTGCCCTCGATGAGGACGGTGAAGGGCTGGGTGCCCTCGGCGTACTTGCGTCCCTGCCGGGCACTGGATGCTGCCGCCGCCATCAGTCCGGACAAGCTGCGATCTGCACGTGAACGTGAAAGCGGAAGAGCACGGTTTTACTATCTGCTACTGGTACAGCCAACGAATTGAGGTGGTGAGCGCTGTGTTCCGGCTTCAATGGAGTTCGAGTACTGTACACGGCGGATGGCAAACTTGGTGTGAAACACCCCGTCAGAAGAGATCGTTTGCCGCCGAAAACTCAAAAGAGCGGGAATACCGCCATTTGTTTTTTAATCGGGTTTTTCGATCGTCATGTTTGTTTTTGTTAAACGGCTGATCGTTGAGCACGCACTCAACGATACATATGTGTGTGTGTATTGCCGGTAGATAATTTATAAACTTTAAATGTGTAGCCATAGCAGCTTGAATTACCTATAAATGTTACAATGTTCCTTCTCCACATGTCCGCGCCACAGGTAGTGGCTCTCAAACAATATTTTAAATTATAAATTCCAAAGCTGGCAGAAGTAACTATTTAATGGTTTTACAATGCAATTGCTTCTTTTTATTTTTTTCTAAATTTCACAAGTCGTGTTGTTTTGCGGTGACAATGAACTGTTGGCGATAACGATGACGGTCAGCTGTTTTGGCCAGAGTTATCGGTACTAGTGCCATCCCTAAGAAGACGCATTTTTTATCAATATTATTGTAAATTTTAGAAAACCTGAATAAAAACTTGTTTGAAGAGAAGTTTTAAGCCAGGCCCCTAATTAGCCATGTCTATAGAAATCGAATCAGCCGAGTAAGTACTGCAAATCATCAAATAACAAACAGTTTTCGCTAATTTTGAATATCTACTTACCATCCAAGTGTGATCCGGCTTATCCAGCAGTATCTCAAGGAGTCCAACCTTATGAAGACCCTGCAGACGTTACAGGTGAGTTCTAATACTCTTAAAAAGCCCAATAACTAATGGGCTTATGGTATATTTTCAGGAGGAAACGGGTGTCTCTCTAAACACAGTGGACAGCGTGGATGGCTTTGTCCAGGACATCTCCAATGGTCATTGGGACACTGTGTTAAAAGTTACGCAATCCCTCAAACTACCGGATAAAAAGCTGCTCAATCTCTACGAACAAATCGTACTGGAGCTGATTGAACTGCGGGAATTGGGCGCAGCCAGATCCCTCCTCCGCCAAACGGATCCCATGAGCATGTTGAAGCAGCAGGAACCAGAGCGATACATTCATTTGGGTATGATCAGCACCACTCAGTGTTAAAGATAAATGCTTATTTAATTACTGTCCTAGAAAATATGCTTCAGCGCGCCTATTTCGACCCCAGGGAAGCCTATGCGGAGGGCAGCAGCAAGGAAAAGCGGCGCACGGCCATTTCCCAGGAGCTAAGTGGCGAGGTGCATGTGGTACCCTCCTCCAGGCTCTTAGCTCTTCTGGGGCAGGCTCTAAAATGGCAGCAGCATCAGGGACTCCTGCCGCCCGGCACCACCATTGATTTGTTCCGAGGTAAGGCGGCCATGAAGGATCAGGAAGAGGAAATGTATCCCACCCAGCTGTTCCGGCAAATCAAATTCGGTCAGAAGTCGCACGTTGAGTGCGCCCAGTTTTCGCCGGATGGTCAGTACCTGATCACAGGTAGTGTAGACGGCTTTCTCGAAGTGTGGAACTTCACCACCGGCAAGGTGAGAAAGGATTTGAAGTACCAGGCGCAGGACCAGTTCATGATGATGGAGCAGGCTGTGCTGGCACTAAACTTTTCACGTGACTCCGAGATGGTTGCCTCCGGCGCCCAGGATGGCCAGATCAAGGTGTGGCGCATCATCACCGGCCAGTGTCTGCGGAAATTCGAAAAGGCCCACACCAAGGGAATCACTTGCCTGCAGTTCTCGCGCGATAACAGCCAGGTGCTCAGTGCTTCCTTCGACTATACGGTGCGACTGCATGGCCTGAAGTCCGGAAAGATGCTGAAGGAGTTTAAGGGTCATTCGTCCTTTGTGAACGAAGCCACCTTCACGCCCGATGGCCACAGCGTGCTCAGCGCTTCCTCCGATGGAACAGTGAAGGTGTGGTCCCTGAAAACTACCGAGTGCGTGGCCACGTACAAGCCCCTGGGCAACGAGTTGGCCGTCAATACCGTCCTCATCCTGCCCAAGAATCCCGAGCACTTTATCGTCTGCAATCGGTCCAATACGGTGGTCATCATGAACATGCAGGGCCAGATTGTGCGATCCTTCTCGTCCGGTAAGCGCGAGGGTGGAGCCTTCATCTCAGCCACTCTTTCGCCTCGAGGCGAGTTCATCTACTGCGCTGGAGAGGATCAAGTACTCTACTGTTTCTCCGTCTCATCCGGCAAACTGGAACGTACTCTAAATGTAAGCTGCACTTTAACCAGTTATTACCAACAGATTTTTAACAAGATATTTGCCATCAGGTTCATGAAAAGGACGTCATTGGCCTGACCCATCATCCGCATCAGAATCTGTTGGCCAGCTACAGTGAGGACGGCCTGCTGAAGCTTTGGAAGCCGTAGATCATATAAGCAATTGACTTTCACACCTAGTTTTAGTTGGTACCCTAAGATGAGCTACCTAAATATACCTAATGCCCCCAAAGCACTTTCAGTTTTTCTCATGCCCTCATCCGTTCCCGCACATCAATATCTTCAATCATGTCTATATGAAACAAATTGACTTTAATTAAGCATTATGCAAAGCGCCAGCCTCTCAGAGCGCTAATCCGCAGAGTTTGCCTCAATTGCTGGCCCTGCGCTTAGATTAGTCGAGCAGCGACACTCAGCCGGTTCACTTGCAACATGAAGAGCGACGAGATCATCGAGAAGATACGCAGCAAGCTAAAGGAATCGGATCCTGCCCGGCGCACCGTGGTCAATACGTTTCAATTCAACTTCACCGACGCGGACGGCAATCTCATCAAGAGCATGGGTGAGTTGGGCCTTACTGTGGGTCAAGCCGTCGTTGACCGTTTCATCGTAGTTTTTGATTTCAAAGCCCTGGACATTTACGAGGGCAATGCGCCCAGTGCCGATGCACAAGTCACCATTTCGGATGAGGATTTCTATTTGGTGGGCACTAAGCAGAAGACTTTCCAGGAGATTCTGGAGCAGGAAAGGGCCAAGATCGATGGCGATGAGGAAGCTATTAACAAAATGCTTGAGAAGTTCCGTATAAATTCTAAGAACTAAGTGAAATTAGTTTTGTTTAGATTATGATATTATGTAACGCTGCTTATCTGCTTTCCAAACCTCCGAATAATGACTACATCAGCACAAATATAAAACTATAAATTAATGATGTGGCGCTTTTTTAAAAATTGTTTTCGTAGCCGAAGTTTTGCATCTACAAGACTAAAGTCCACCAGATAATTTGGATTTAAACATCACTGAATAACTTGGTTTTAGTATTCATTTATTTAATTACCTTTATTTATATTTAATGTTAACATGGAATTGTTTTTGTAGGTGTTTCCTTTTAATTTGAAATTTTTCTTCTGCATTTTATTATTCAACTATTTTGTTATTTAGATTCCCTTCATATCTCATTGGCAAACGGCGCCGTGTTTTGTGCCAATAAGTGCGCCTGAGATTCGGTTTTTCTGACTTCTGTTTCTGGATTTTGAAATTTGAAAAACGACTCTCAATTCAAATGTGTTTGACTCCTTCTCTTGAGTGGCTTATTTGTAGGTTTAATTGTAATTTTAACATTTGCTCTTTTTGGGGTGTTTTAATTTAATTTTGTGTTACTTTAGTAAACTCTTTTTTAGTTTAGAACATGTTTTTTTGGGATAGGTTTCTTTTGGGGACTTTCTTTCTCGAACATTTTATTAGCTTTATGTTTTAGTACTATTTTTCTTTAAATTTATGTTTAATTTTTATTGCTAGAACACAAATTTAGAGTTTTTATTAACTAATTGAATTCTTTGCTTCTGGGTTTTCTTTTCGGTTTTAATGTAATACAACAACAAAATTTGTACACTTAAACTAAAGTTTATTTTTATGAATTAATTCCTAGAAGTTACTTGATCATTATGCTTTTTTTATGCAACAATTTAACAACGTTTTACTTCATCAATGTAATTGTATTTATTTTTTCTTTATTTATCATTTTTTTGTTTAATTAATGTAGCATTTTTGTAACACCTACATACGTTTATTATTAATTGGTTTTTACGTTAAACGGGTTTAAGTTTCCATCGCTGATTTAAGCCATATTCATTAAATTTCTCAATTTTCTTTTGCAAAACGTACGTGCGCTATGAAACCAATAATTATTATTTATATTACGAAATTTTAGGGAATTCATTTTTAAACTCCAAAACGGAGGAAACTGATATGAACTAAAAGAATTTTAAAATTCACAATAGGTTTGCATATGTATAAAGTTGATAAAATAACATAAAATAATATTTGATACAGAAGATAGCCAAATACGATTTGGCACAAAGAAAAATCAATTCAATATTCGGTTTCTTTGTGTTTAGATTCTTGTTTTTAGCTTCTTGTATAATTTACTTTATTATTATCGTTCCCTTTAGCGTATACATTTTTATAAATATTCTTGTTCGCCTTAAATGTTTATAAAAATGTGCTTAAATAGACAAAAATCTTTGAATTTATTTTCTTTCCATTTCTCGCTTTCATTTTCCATCTCTGGGGCCGCTAATTTATTAAATTTCCTCTTTTATTTTCATATAAACTTTTCGATTTAGCGTCATTTAACTCTTTGCTTTTATTCTTTGCTGGAAGATACAGTTTTGATAGTCACTAATTCTTTTATTTATGCATTATTTCTTCTTCTCCTTTTTGTTGTTGTATGTTTGATTTGTGTAGCCTCAAGGTTCGAAGATTTTTGTACAAAATGTGTAAATAAAAAGTCATGCGCGTATGTAAAGGTAGTTAATTATTATTGTTTTATGCCCTTTAGTATGTTGCTGCCGTTATTCATTATCGGTTTATCTATCGGTTGCAAATGTGTGTATTGTTTTATTAACGTTTACGTTCTTCGTTTCTTCTGTTGTATAATTAATTCAATTTATGCTTCACCTAAATATTACTCGTATCAAATATAAAAATCAACAACTTTATTTTATTTTTCGTCTTGTCTGCGGTCTCTTGTGGCTATGAAAATGATTCGTACTTGCACTTCCTGCGCCTGCTGTTTTCGGCTCGTTTTCGTTTCCGTTTCCGCTAAACGGAACCTTGCTCCTCGCTTTTTACACATCCGCCTATCGCCCTGTGCTTTTTGTGCGTCCTTCTCCATTTCGCCGTACGTATTTCGCTATGTGTATAATATAGTTATTTAATGTAGCTATTATTTTTTTGGTTTCTTATTCCTCCACATCATCCCTTACTTATGTGAAACGCTTCTGGCTAATCATGTTATCGCAACTACAATATGCTCGCCCTACTGTACTTATTTAGCTTCGCTTTCGCTTACTTCATCACTAATACCTACTAACCATCCCGTTTCGCTCGTTATTAAATTTATGTCTTAATCAATTCGCATTTTTGCATAATTTCTTGTCTTTTAGGTATTGTTAACTTTTGAATTTCTGTTTCTGTTCGCCTCCCGGTTTTACTGTATCTGAGTGTTATCCTGTGTCTGCGTGTCAGTATGCGCTGTGGGAGTGTGTGTTATCTACTTCTCTTGCTCTGCAAAGTTGCTTTGTTCGCCATTACCTAGTTAGCCTTAGTCTAAATGCGTTTTAAAACCGAAACTGAAGGTTGCGATAAAAGTGCCTAAAACTGTGCCGAACCATCGTTAGACGTTCGCCATTTGGTTGACATGATCGATGTTGTCCTCATCGAAGTGCACATCGTTGATGAAAATGTCCGCGTCCAGCTGGTCCTCATCGAGCTCCAGATCGTCCTCGTCGTCCTCCCCGTTGGACATCAGTCCATGGCCCATGCCCATCCCCATTCCCATGTCCACGCCGGCGATGCAGATGTGGGGCGGCGGCGGCACGCTGGTGGGCGGCAGTGGGGCGGGCGGTATCATCAGGTTGCCGCTGTTGATCCCATGCAAACTGCCCGCGATGCTGGCGCCACCACTCTGTAGATGCCTGCGACTGGAGCTGAGACCCGCTGCTCAATTACAAAGGGAGATATTATGAATTACATAATTAAACCTTCGGTAAATTAATTACTAAACTTTAAAGTATTTCTGAAATATCTTTTTTAAACAAAATTTTTGTATTTTCTCAAGCGGTTAATGTTTTGTTATTGATTATAAAAAAAATATTTTTTAAGCTTTGTGTGTTCAAACTAAATGGAATTAAATATAATTAAACTTTATGTTTTTATTTTTCAAAACATTAAAATTCTTAAAGATTTCAGAAAAACTTTAGTAAAGCTAAATTCAGACTGATAAAATATTTGTTCAACTTCTCTTAAGTTTGGTATTCTTTATTTGAGTAAAACTTGTAAATTAAAAATAAAGATCAAAATTATTAAGTTTTAATTAAAGTTCGTGCCCATTGTAGAACATTTTCACAAATATTTTCAAAGTCTGAAATTAAATAAAAAAACCAAAAAAAAGTTACCTTGAAACAATGTAAATAAAACCAAACTCAAAGAAAACCTATTAAAGCAATAAGCCAGAAATATATGAAATATATATATATATATATATAAATCGGACTTACCCGTGGCACTGGTCTGCGAGTCATAATGTGCATTCCGATGTAGGCCCAGTTGGCGGACATGGTTCCTACGGTTTCTTCTGGAGTGACAGAGTATGCATAGGAGACAGATTAGGGACGAGACGACGAGAAGCGTTATTATAATTAGGACGTCGTAGTCCTCCTCGGCCGCTTCCGTGGTACCTGTTCAGTTTCAATAAATTGGTAGGGGAGAGCAAGAGCACAGGACACAGAATTAGTTAATGATAACAGAGCTTATGCAATAGCTTGATTAGGACGATGGTTTGTAGTTAGGAATGTGTGTGTGTGTTGATCTCTAGTTAGCTGAGATTGAGATTGTGTCATGTGGGTGAGTCTGAACTTGATGTTCTTGTTCTGTGTGCTGTGGTTTCCATTTCTTTTCGGCTTTTAAAGTGGGTTACACAAGTTTAGCATATCAAGAGATTTAGGCTTAGGCGGTTTAGAATATTCAGTTCAGTTTAACAAGGCACCAGGAAGGCATATGTACTATATACATCTGCTAGATGCGGTGCACATGACAAGTGAGGGAAAGGTGCGGAACACAAAGAAGCCAGAACAAAAAAAAATGGAGGCATGCTCATAAACTCAACTCTCAAAATGCGGTTGAAGTGAACTGAAAGATGCAACAAAATATAAACTGGGGATGTTATTATTTTCATTGGGCTGTGAACTGTGATCTCCTTTGTACTGTGGCATTCTACGGGGTTCGGGGTTTTGGTTATGGGGTTTCTCTAGATCGGGGTGACATGTATCTGGTTTGAACACTGTGCATGTCATGAGCGTGGCGTGGAGTGTTGAACGAATGTAGACAAGCTTATGCTGAACTCACGTGTTAATTGTGACCAAAGGGTTTCTTTTACTTAAGTATTAGAGTTAATAGTTTTGGTTTGGTTGCTTCGTTTCGCTTGCAATTGGTATGTTGTTAGAAAAATGAGTA